CCCCCCCCCCCCCCCCCCCCGTATAATGCAGTGCCACACCTCTGTTGTGCACGAGGCCTCTGCAGGCTCCTCTGACACCTCTGTTCTGTTTCCCAGCGTGCTGCCACGGGGTCCCTTCATTTTTAAACACGTTATAGCTTCAAAAAATAAAATTAGCCAAGTGCTTTTTGCCTTGACAAGCAGAGCAAGAGAGTCCAAGAGGAAGGCTGGTCATGTGGGGTTGGTTGGTACTATTTATATGCTTGATAGTGGAACCCGAAATACCGTCGGCCAAGGGAGCAAGAGACTCAGGAAGGATGGATATGGGTGACACAGAAACAAGCTGCTCTTCTTCTCACACACACACACACACACACACACACCAAATTGTCTACAACATTCTGAGGAATCCACCACTGCAAGTCTACTTCTGTTTCCTCGTTAGATAAGGAGCGAGAAAGCCTTGAGATGATTGCAGATGGAGATGGAGAAGTTCAGAGAGAGCGATGTATAGCGGGCCGGCCTGTCAAAGGAGGAGAAGGATGAGACGGGGAGAAAAAAAGACTGAGTTAGGAGCAGAGAGAGAGAGAGAGAGAGAGAGAGAGAGAGAGAATGAGAGTGTGATAAAATAGAGGCAGGCGGGGCAGATGAGGGATGGGGACGCTGGGCAAGTGGCAGAGCAGCAGAGGAAGACAGTGATGTAGTGGTAGCGTGTGGAAGAAGAGAGGAAGAGTGGAGGAATAATGGATGAGGACAATAGAAGTGCATTAGAGCAGGAGGAGTGTGTCTGTACGGAGGGGGAGCTTTGCGTGAAGCCACCAGAACGGGATTGACAGATGCCCACAACTGTATACACATCTGCTTATTTCATGTTTAGGCGTAAGCCGACATGATCCGGTCTGACTTCCTCTCGCGTGCGCATCTCAACTATTTGAGTAGAAATGCAGACATCCTACATGGATTATTATTGTCTATTAGGATGTGGTTTACAGAGCCGAGCGGCATTGTGCTGCGGTTTTGAAAAGAAAGCCAAAGGCAGCACCCACAGGGCATTCACATTTAGCCAGACAACTCGTCCAAATGATTTACTGCTCTTGCCTGCCGGTATAAAAGATATTTCCAATAAAGTTTAATCAGCGAAAGTTGAAACAATGCTAGAAAACCAAGATCTTCACCCACTCATCTCGCCCTGCAACCTTCCCTCCAGCCTTTGGCCTCCCCGCACGATCCGCAAACAAGTCCACACAGTCGCGCGCTCACACCCACACATGCGCTCATCTGGCCCCTGGAGAAGCCTGTCACTGTGAGTGGCCCTCTGCCACGGGAGGATAAACTACCTGTCACGGCGGCGACTTTCTGTGGAATTCATATTGGAGCCAAAACAAAGGAGGTGCCGAGGTCACGGGGCATCACTCTTAAATTATTCATCCTCTGCTTCCTCCTTCCGTCTCCTCTCTGCCTGTCGCCCACTTTGTTTCTGCCAGCTCACAACAAGGGCAGCCGTCAGCCTCCTCCCCATCTCCTCATCTCATGGAATGTAGATAAACATGGTGAATAACTTCTTCGGAGGAGTTGCTGATTGACTGTTTTGAAGGGTGTGTTTATGTTTACGTTGACCATGTGGCAGTGCGGTTCCTGCCGCTTCTGAGGGTCATAGCGTCATGACATTTTAGAATATGCATTCCTCCGCACTCGTTTGGTCTCCCTGCGTGCATAATTCATTGACGTCCTGGCAACTGCTCGTTCGCATACACTTGCAGGACGTCCCCGTACAGGATGGCCTTAAAGTTTTGTGTTTCCCCCCCCCCCCCCCCCATTGCAGGAACAGTTGTCCGCTCTGGGCTTGACCGACGCCTGGGACCAGAAGGCGGCCGATTTCTCCGAGGTGTCGGACAAGAGCAAGGGGAAACTCCACCTGGGCGGAGTCCTCCATTGGGCTGCCCTGGAGCTGGCCGCTCAGGCTGGGAAAGGTGGCGCAGATCCGGAGGAGGAGATCATAGGAAAGCCCAAGCTGTTCTACGCCGATCACCCCTTCATCATCTTTGTCAGGGACAACGCCACCGGAGCCCTGCTGCTGATGGGAGCTCTGGACCACGCGGAGGGAGAGGCCCTCCATGATGAGCTGTAATACCCAAAAAACCTCGATCCCTTCTTCGGTCTTTTTTATTTTTTTGTGTGTGTGATTCTTACAAACTCTGGTTTCCATGTCGAGACATTGTCATTCACCGTGGCACACTATCAACATCAGACTACGGCTGGCTGTCACACATTGACACTGAATAGTCTCGCGCTGACTGACACTGACACCGCCATACCTGACACTGGCACAGTCGCACACACACACACACATACACACACACCGACACCTACATGGCATACATAAGAACGCAGTACAAGACGGTACTAACGGCGACGGATACAGCCAAAAACACCAACTCGGAGAGACTCCCTGCGTTTCGTTTCTCCCACGCAAGTGCGCCCACACACAGTCGAGGCCTCGCTGATCAAGTCGACACAAAACAAAATGACAAGAAAGCAGCGACAAACACCAACATGCTGACAGGCAGAAGTGATTACAGTCACTCAACACTTACAACAGCATCTACAGAAGAAGGTTAACTAATAGAGACTCGCCGTGACACTTGAATCCTCCCCACCAGGCCAGATGTGCGTGTATGTGTGTGTGTGTGTGTGTGCGTGTGTGTGTGAGTGAGTGCGTGCGCGCGCGCGTATACGTACATGCGTGGTGCCGACAGATCAAGGGTGGCCACGCGGCGGCTCTCGGAGCTGGTGGGGACCTGCGGCGGGGTCCCCTGGGCTACATCAGAGGAAGACTGATGGATCAGCCAAGTGCTTATTGATGAGCCAGCTTAATGCTAATGGCCGTAATGAGTCAGAACGCTTGTCAACAACACGGAGAGGACGGGGAACCTTTTAATCTCTTAATACCATCAGGGATCATTGCCGCTGGAAAACGAAGACATGACTGACATCGCTTGACTTAAATGTAACAACTTAATGTTTAGGATGATTACAGCCATTCAAAGAGGTATTGATTTTCATTTGTGTATCTTTTTTTTTTTTTTCAAAGCTCCTGAGGGGGTTGTTGTATGTGAACGAACTAGAGTAGCTACTGCTCAAGTGTATCATTGATATTTGACATGGTGCATTTAAAAAAATTCAAATAAATATTTCTATTTGATACAAACTAATCAATCATCAAAACATGTACTTCTGTCCTGAGCCGATTTGGTGGACGTTGTGTCTCAAGGGTGTATAGAAGCAGATGTAAAGCATCCGCTATTGAATTTTAAGAGGCAACACATGGTAGGCTCGCAGTGCCTAGACAGTGCAGCAACAACTTCAACACACTCTCCTAATGCTTCCCAACAATCAAACGTAAAATGTGTATCCTGCATCTTATGTGTATTGATGTTTTATTGCTTTTGTGTCGTTGCTTGCGCACACAAAACAATTGCCGTATTCAGCATGATGTGTGTGTGTGTGTGTGTGTGTGTGTGTGTGTGTGTGTGTGTGTGTGTGTGTGTGTGTGTGTGTGTGTGTGTGTG